TTGAACTTCTCATTTCTTCCTCCTATTGTCTCTTTTTCCTGGCTCATCCTTTTTAAAATTTCTCTTGCACACATTCTCTCATTTTTTTAAAAAGCATTTTCTTTTCTGCTCTCCTTTTAAAATTTCTTTTTCTCTATCCCTTTTCCCTAACTCTTTTTTTTTTTATTTATTTATTTTTTTTTTCTTAATTTTTATTGTTCATATTAATACAAATGTCCCTTCCCACCCCACCCTCTGCCCTTTCCCCACCCCCCCATTGTCCTCATCCATAGGTGCACAGTTTATGTTCAGTCTCTTCCCACATCCCCTTCTCCCCTTTTCCCCAAGAATCATCAGTTCACTCCCCTTCCATACCTCTGATTCTATTATATTCAACAGTTAATATTGTTCATCAGATTTTTTTTTTAATTTCCTTGGTTTTTAGATTCACTTGTTGATAGTTACGTATTTGTTGTTCATAATTTTTATCTTTATTTACTTTCTCTTCTGAAAGAACCCCCTTCAGCAATTCATATAATTCTGGTTTGGTGGTGATGAACTCCTTTAGCTTTTTTTTATTAGTGAAGCTCTTTATCTGACCTTCGAATTTGAGTGATAGCTTTGCTGGATAGATTATCTTTGGCTGTAGGTTCTTACTATTCATCACCTTGAATATTTCTTGCCATTCCCGTCTGGCCTGCATGGTTTCTGTTGAGAAGTCAGCTGACAATCGTATAGGTGCTCCTTTATAGGTAACTATCTGCCTAGCTCTTGCTGCTTTTAATATTCTCTCTTTGTCTTTTGCTCTTGGAATCTTAATTATGATTTGTCTTGGTGTGGTCCTCTTTGGATTCCTTTTATTTGGAGTTCTGTGTGCTTCCTGGACTTGTAAGTCCAATTCTTTCCCCAGGTGGGGGAAGTTTTCTGTCACTATTTCTTTCAATATGTTTTCGATATCTTGCTCTCTCTCATCTTCTGGGACCCCCATAATTCTGATGTTGGATCGTTTGAAGTTGTCCCAGAGGTTTCTTACATCATCTTCAATTTTCTGGATTCTCTTGCCTTCTAGCGACTGCAGAGGAGTATCTTCTGGCTCTTTATGTTCCAAATCTTTGACTTGATTCTCAATTTTCTGGATTCTCTTGCCTTCTAGCTTCTGCGGAGGAGTATCTTCTGGCTCTTTATGTTCCAAATCTTTGACTTGATTCTTGCGATCTTCTATTCTGTTTTTAGGACTCTGTATAATAGTTTTTATTTCAGACAATGTGTTCTTTATTTCTTGTTGATCCCTTTTCATATCCTCATAAGTCTCATTTATTTTATCGGCCTTTTCTAGGAAACTCTTGAAAAACCTTATAAGTGTGGTTTTGAACTCTATATCCAGTCGCTTTTTGTCCTCCATTTCTTTCGTTTGTGATCTATTTGGTTTAGGCATTTTCGCAGGCAGCTTTCCTGATGGGGCGGGGTTTCAGGGTGGAGCCTACAGCTTTGGCTTCCGTCAGCCCCGCCCTATGCGACTCCTGAGACTCAGGGTCCTTCAGTACTTGTTGTAAGCGCCTCTGAGAGAAAGGCGCCCTCGATTTTCGCCTGCTGCCAAACAGTCTAGTCTCTCCCCCAATGGTCCCGAAACTGGGGTTCAGTTCAGTTGGAAGTGGAGTTGGAGGTGGCGTTCAGAGCAGTCCGGAGCCCCAGTCTCCTTCCCGCCAGGCAATCCCGCGGCACAGCCGACCGTCCCTTCTCTGCGCGGCGCCGCCGCCGCCGGGACCTCCTTTCGCCTCTTCCCCGGGGTTCAGCCTTTCAGCCCGGCTCCCTCTGTGTGAGCCTGGGTCCCCGGGGTCTGGCCTAGGCCTGGGGTTCAGAGCAGTCAGAATGGGGGCCAGCACATTCGGAGCGTTTATCTCCTTCCCGCCAGGGAACGCCCGCCAGGCACTCCGCCTCCCTCCTCTCCAGCTCCGTCCTCTCCGCGCGCCGCGTGTCTCCGTACCTTAGGCTTTCCCAGCTCCTCCGCGCTTCCTTCTGGTTATCTCCTTGCTTCTCGTTGTAGAATTTCCAGTCAGTCAACTTTCCTGTAGTTCTGGGTGATGTCCATTTTATATTTTAGTTGTATTTTGTTGAAATTTTTGTGTGCAGCTCGGCTAGGTGCCTACCCGAGCAGCCATCTTGGATTCTCCCCCCTTTTCCCTAACTCTTATTACTCTTCCCTCCACTCCCCTTCTCCACCTTATTCTATCCCATTCCTTCTTTTACCCTCTATTTACTGACAACTTTTAACATTTTTCATTTCTTCTCTTTTCTAACTCTGTACTTTTACTATTTACTGGTTTCTCCTTTTTCAAATTAGTTCTATCTACCCGTGCAAGTGTCTATTCATTCACACACCTAGCTAGCTATCTTTATTCTATTTTTTTTTATTAACTTCTCTCTTTTAAAAAAAAAAATCTTATCCCTTTCACACACAATTGTATTTGACTTTTTTATTGGCTCCTTCCTCTCACACAATTTTTCTCTCTCCTTTATGTAACATGTTTTCCTTCATTTATAAACTTTCTTTCCTCCTTCTTTCCTACTTCTTTTCCATCATCCTTCTTCCCATCTTTCTCCTTCCCCTTTTCCTTCCTTCCCACCTAAATTTTTTTCTTCCTCCCTTGGACCTTCTTTGTTCCCTCCCCCATTCCTTACTTCTTGCCATCCTCCTTTTAAGCTCTACTGGCTCCCCTTTTAAAACCTTTCTTCCCTTCCTCTTTCTCCCTTATCCTACCTTTCCCATACATTCTTCTCTATTTCCACTTTTGAATATCTATCATCTATCTATCTATCTATCTATCTATCATCATCTCTCTACCTACCTACCTACCTACCTAATTATTCACTATCATTTCTTCTATTCTTTTCTTACTCCTACTTTTAAAATCTGTTCCCAGTAGACAACTATACTTGATTTTCATTATAGCTCCTACAGTTCACTCATCCTCTTTCCTTCTTTAACTCTACTCTCTCCTGACTCCTTTTTAAAGTTCTACTGTCCCTCTTTCCCCTTTTTCCCATTCTTCCCCCTCCTCCCTCACTCTTTTACTCTTTTTACAGGCTAATTAAAAAAAATACTTTTTTCTCTCCCTCTGTCCATGCTTTTCTTAGTACTGACTTCTCCACTTAAAAATCACACTCAATAAAAATACATTTTAAAAAAATCACCCTGTACTTAATTTTCTTACTAACACCTCCTTTTAAACTCCCCTCGCTCTCACATTCTGTTTCTTATTTTTATTTGACTATTTTCCTGGCCTCACACCATTTTAGCATCCTTCTCTTTCCTGCTTTCTTTCTCTCCCTCCCTCCTCACTTCTCTCCCTTCATTTCCTGTTTCTGTCTCCTTCTTACTCCTCCCACTTTCCCCCCTATTAGCCTTTCCCTTGTGAGCCTGAAACCTGCCGCCCTCCCTTCTTCCTTATTATTACAGCCTTGTCCCCTGCTCTCCCCCCCGCATGTTCACTGGTTTCTCTTTTAAATTTTCCTCTTTCCTCTCTGGGACCTGCTTCCAGCCCAGCCTGAGCACACTTTGATATTACAGCTTCTGGTGTGTGTGGGGGTGTTAACCCACAGCCCAGGGCCAGCCCCAGCCAGGCTTTCACTGGCCCCCCTCTTCCAGCCTCTCTGCCCCCAACTTGTCAACAAACTATGCTTGACATGTCACCAACCTAACCCTGCCAGTGTCTTTGGGGTCCAGCCCTTGAGGGTGAAAAGGGTACCCTCCTTAGTGTCCTACTCTGCTGCAGCTAAGCTGCGCCTCCCTTCCTAGTGCAAGGACCTGGCCCAGAGAGGATGGCCAAGGCCTACTGGGCTGGGACACTGCTGCCTAGAAGCTGGAGTGCCTCAGCCCCTCTGGCCAGACCTGTGGAGCCGTCACCCTCCTTGCAGCCTATGCTCCACCCCTCGCTGGGTACACTTGCTCTGCCCCCTGCGGTCACCACCCCCTCCAGACTGCAGCCCAGTGTTTCCTTCTTTTTTCCATTCCTGCATCTTTTTCTCCTTCTCTTTCTTTTTCTCCTCTTGGCCTGTCTGCATGCAGGCCTTACTTTCTCTCCTTCTCCTTCCTTATCCCCTCTAATCACATTCTATCCTACCTACCCTGGGCCTTGCAGCTGCCTGAGCCCATGACTGCCTTTGCCCTGGAGCCTTGTAGCCCCTGTAGCTTTGTCTGAAGACATCCACCCTAATTAGCATGCAAGTCCAGCCTAGAAGCAGGAATTCTCAGGCCTTTCTCAAGAAGGCAAATAATAATTTCCACTAATACACACGTAGTAAATAAGATTGTTGTTAGAGTGTTGAGTGTGACAGTTGAATAGTAGCGAATTTCTCAGAGGAAATAATTTGGCTAATGGAAATAAACAAATACTCTAGAAAAACTGATTGTACTGTACACAAAGCTGTTCCTAAAGTATTAACAAAAATTCTTATTGGCAGAGCGTCTCATGGTAAAATTTCATAATATGTAATGAACCTAAAGCAGTCATAGTTTAATGCAAACAATTAAAATGTAAAAGCTATCAAGACTACATTATAAAATTTCCAAAAGCTTCCTATTATTTAAATTTAAAAAGGGGGTGACAGTGGAAGAATATCATGTAAGGAAAAATATACTGTGAGTAAATTAAATCTAAAAAATTTGTACTTTAGAAAATTAACCCTTCATTCGAAACGCATGTTACTCTTTTATTAGTATAGATACCCTTGCCTGGAATGCCATATTGCTTCTTTCTTTTCTTTCCAAATATTTTCTTAGTATAGCTCCCCAACCCACTCCTCTTAGCTTCTATAGTGCTACTAATACTAAGTTAGTTATGTCTCACTTTGGCCCTTAATTATATACTGTCTTGTATTCTTTATTAGTTGTTTTCTTTATAATGTTGTCTCCCCCAATTTACAACTTTTCTTTTCATCTACATTTTAATTTCGCTTACCCTCTGTATCATCTAACAGTCTTGGTAAAAATCTTGTTAATAATTTTCTTTCTCTTTTGGCAGTGTGTGTGAGCACAGCAAAGAGAATTTTATGACCCCCTCCAACATGGGGGTAATCTTTGGTCCCACGCTGATGAGAGCTCAGGAGGATACTGTGGCTGCCATGATGAATATCAAATTCCAGAACATTGTGGTAGAAATCCTAATTGAGCACTTTGTTAAGGTATGTATTTCCTGCCCTCAATATCACTCCTTCAAGCATGTAACACTTTTTCCTAGCTACCTTTTAGAGTTGTGTCTCCTTTCCTGGGTCAAGTTGATAATGGAAGGAAATTCCATTATGGCACAATTACATTTAACAACATGTTTGCCAATGTGAAATTAATTTATTCAGCAAATATTGCTTAATTATGTAACTATTTCATTATCAAGCACCATGCTCATGGTATAGAAGGAGAAAAATATCACTATAACTATAAGGAGTTAGCAGTGTAATATGGTGATAGACATTTAAACAAAGGAAATGAAAGCTATATGTACAATGAAACTATAAAGAAAGTGATACCTATACTTAGTTAAACTTATATCATCCTGAAATAATTTAAAGTGCTATATTTTTTACAATATATAAAATATGAGGTAGTATACATTATAATTAGATCAAGTAAAAAAGTATAAATGAGAATAGAGACAGAAAATGGACCCAGGAATTAAGCAAGACAAAAATTATTTATTGACAAGTCTTGTGCACTTGCTTCAGATGTTCCTACATTTGATTGTACACTTTGTAATAGCCAATGCTATCCTAACAGGGCATAATTCAATAAAAACTTTTCTGCAAGTGGATAAGACTGATGATATAATCCAGGTGATATCCACAGTTGAAATATAATGTCCACCAGATATATTACATTAGATAGAAGTTAGTCTTCTAAGACTCTACATATAAACACTCTGGCTCCAACACAAGAGGCATTTATTTTTTGTTTTGGAATAGTCCAGCAAGATGGTCCAGGGCCAGTATGGTGACTTGATGGGCACAAACACAGGTTTCTTCTTTTTTTCTCTGCCGTTGCTAAGGTACTGCTTCATGTGCATGGCCAAATATCTTCTATATTATATCAACTGAGAAGGATAAAATAAAGGAAAGTAGAGGATACAGTTTTTTCCTTTAAGGTCTTGGCCTGAAAGTCATACATATTACTTTCATTAACTTACTATTTGTCAAATTTAATCTCATGGTCACATCTAGCTAGAAGAGAGTTAGGGAAGTGTAGTGTTTTTTGTTTGTTTGTTTGTTTTTTTGGTGGGGGGCATCCATGTGCCCAGTATTTCATACAAATAAGAAATGCAGAATGGGAAACTTTCAGTGAGGTACAAAAAAGCTCAGTTTTAGGTAGGTTGGATTAGAGATTCCTGAAAGATTGACTCTGAATTTAAACCAGGGATTGGCAAACCTTTTCTTGAGGAACCATATAGTAAATATTTAGACTTTGCAGGTTATAGAACTCTGTCACAACTACTCACATACACCTGTGTATTGGAAAGGCATAGACAACATGTAAACAAGTGAATCCTATATAATAAAGAGATAATATGCAAATTAATCCTCATGCTATCACAAGTTGGTCAACCCCATGTCATCACAAGATGGCTGCCCCATGTTATCACAAAATGGCCACCCTCATATCATCACAAGATAGCTGCCACAAGATAGCCGCTCAATGTCATTACAAGATGGCTGCCCCACGTCATCACAAGATAGTCACTCCCAGGTCATCACAACATGGCCGTTCCACGTTGTCACAAGATGGCTAGCAGGGGAGGGCAGTTGGGGGCCACCAGGTCTTAGGGGGAGTACAGTTGGGGGCAATCTGGCCAGCAGGGCAGGTCATTTGGGGGCGATTGGGCTGGAATGGGAGCATTTAGGTCAATCAGGCCAGCAGGGGAGCACTTAAGAGGCTATCAGGCTGGCAGGCAGAAGTGGTTAGGTGAAATCAGGCAGGCAGGCAGGTGAGTGGTTAGGAGCCAGCAGTCCTGGATTTTGAGAGGGATGTCCGGCTGGCAGTTTAGGCCCGATCTCTGCAAATCGGCAGTTGGACATCCCTTGAAGGGTCCCAGATTGGAGAGGGTGCAGGCCTGGCTGAGGGACAACACCCCCCTCCCCAGTGCAAAAATTTCACACACCAGGCCTCTAGTATTTTAATAAAGTTTTATTTACAAGCAGGCAGGAGGCCTGTAGGCTATAATTTCCTGACCATTGGTCTAAAGTCCAGATATCATTTATTGACTGGTTGATTTATTCAATAAATATGTATTGAGTACTTATTATCTGCCAAGTATTGTTTAAAGCACTGGAGATACAGCCCTCATAACTTTATATTCTAAAGGAAGTATAAAAAGAGTATGTATTTAAAATTAGTAGCATATATAGTATGTTAGGTTCTGTCTCTATCCTTATTTATACTTTTTTACTTGATCTAATTATAAGAATCTTTAAGGAAAAATAACTCAGAGAGGGAAGTGGTTTTACAGTTTCATTTATTTTTCACTTTTCAATTAAATTTGACATTCAATATTAGATTTATTTCAGTTATATAGCATAGTGGTTAGACTATATAACTTACAACATGATTCCCCTGATAAGTCTAGTACGCCCCATAATACAATATGTAGTTATTACAATATTGATGACTATTATAGTCTGTAACTATTTGGCAACTGTAAATTTGTACTTCCTAATCCCTGAACTTTTACCCAGCCTCACATCCCCTTCTTACCTGGCAACAAACATTTTGTTCTTTGTATCTATGAGTTTGTTGTTTTGTTTGTTCACTTATTTTGTTTTTTAGATTCCACATATAAGTCAAACCATATACAAATATTAACTCAAAATAAATCAAAGACCTAAATGCAATATCTGAAACAATAAATTACATAGAAGGAAACATAGATACTAAACTTATGGACCTTGGGCATTTTATGACCCCAAAGGCAAAAGCAGTAAAGGCAAAAATAAACAAATGGGACTGTCTCAAACTAAAAAGCTTCTGCACAGCAAAATAAACTCCCAACAGAATAAAAAAAGCAGTTGACTGAATGGGAGAAGATTAGGGGAATAACAAGAAGAAACAACAGCTCTGATAAGGGGTTAACAGCCAAGATATATTAAGAACTCATACAACTCAATACCAAAAAAGAATCCATTTATAAACTGAGCAGAGAATTTGAATAGACACTTCTCCAAAGAAGATATACAAATATCCAACAGATATATGAAAATATGTTCAACTTCACTATTAGGAAAATGCAAATCAAAACTTCAGTGAAATACCACCTCACTCCTATAAGAATGGCTATTATCAACAAGAAAGATAATAACAAGTGTTGGAGAGGTTGTTGAGAAAAATGAACCCTCATTCATTGCTGGTGGAAATGTAAACTAGTACATTCATTAGGAAAATAGTATGGAGGTTCCTAAAAAAATTAAGAATATGCTGAGATTTGTGAAATAGGTGAAGGAATTAAGAAAACAAACCTTATAGACACAGGCAATAATGTGGGAAGTATTAAAAGGAAAGGGGTTGGTGGAGGTATAGAAGAATAAAGGGGGGATAAGTGGTGATGGAAGGAGATTTGACTTGGGGTGGTAAATACATAATACAATATATAGATGATATATTGTAGAATTATATACTTGGAATCTGTGTAATTTTATTAACCAATGTCACCCTAATAAATTCAATTTAAAAAAAACATACAGAGCCCAGCCTGCATGGCTCAGTGGTTTAGTGTTGACCTATAAACCAAGAGGTCAAGGTTTGATTCCTGGTCAGGGCACATGAAGTCGATCCCCAGTGTGGAGCATGCAGGAGGCAGTTGATCAATGATTCTCTATCATCATTGATGATTTTATCTCTTTCTCCCTCTCCCTTACTTTCTAAAATCAATACAATTATATATATTTAAAACAAGCAAAAAAACAAAAACAAAAAACAAAACACATATAGGTCAGAAAGGAACCAATATAACTTTTCCTATTGCCAATGGGATGACTTTCTATATAGCAAATCCCAAAGTACCTATAAAAATGCTCCTTGAACTAATAAGGGAGTTTATCAAAGCCACAGCATACAAAGCCAACATGCAAAAAATTAATTTAATTTTTTTTTGCAGTAGAGAAATTAAAGCCATTTATTATCAGGGTGCCAAAGCAGAAGATCAGAGAGTTAGAGCTCAAAATTCAAGCTCTCCAAAGGTTTTTCTTTTTATCTTTTATTTTATCTTTTCTATTTTGTAGTTGACAGTATTACACATGTCTCTCATTCCCCACCCATTTCCCCCCCTCTTCCTAGCCCTTACCCACCCCTAGGTCTTCACCACTCTATTGTCCATACCAATGGGCTATGCATATAAGTATATCAATTCTTTGGTTTATCTCTCCTTGCCTGCCCACCCCCACATGGAGGTATGTCAGTCTGTTCCATGCCTCAGTGCTTCCAGTCTTATTTTGTTGGTCAATTTGTTTTGTTCATTAGATTCCACAAATAAGTGAGATCATGTTATATTTGTCTTTCTCAGATTGGCTTATTTTACTTAGTATGATATTCTCCAGGTCCATCCATGCTCTCCCGAAGGATAAGCGATGCCTCATTTTTACAGCTGCATAGTATTCCATTGTGTAAATGTCCCACAGTTTTTTATCCACTCATCCAATGATGGGCACTTGGGTTGTTGCCAAATATTATCTATTCTAATTAACACTGCTATGAGCACAGGGGTTCATATATCCTTTCTGATTGGTGTTTTGGGATTCTTTGGACAAATTCCCAAAAACAGGATCGCTGGATCAATGGGAGTTCCATTTTTAATTTTTTTTGAGGAATCTCTACACTGTTTTCCATAGTGGCTGCATCAATCAATCTGCATCCCCACTAGCAGTATACTGGGGTTTTCTTTTTTCCAAATCCTCACCAGCAACTTGTTGTTTGTTGATTTGTTGATCTTAGCAATTCTGATATTGTAAGGTGATATCTCACTATGGTTTTAATTTGCATTTCTCTGATGACTAGTGGCTTTGAGCATTTTTTCATATGTGTCATGGCCATTTGTACGTATGATTTGAAAAAGTGTCTATGCAGGTCCTCCACCTATTTTTTTTTTATTAGATTGTTTGTCTTCCTTTTGTTAAGTATGAGTTCTCTGTAAATTTGGGAGATTAAA